AGTCATTCAGTCCACGCATGCGTTGGCTTCGAAAAAGAAACGACAATATTCGCTCACACCATTTAATCATAGATCGGCGCTTACACATATGTTAGTGTTTGGCCGAGCTTCTCCTCCGATTTGTGGCCTGCGTCTTGATTTTGCCACACAAAGGGCAGATCTACAGTTTTACGCCGACTCCGAGCGGCGATTGTATTTTTTATGAGAAGTTGTTTTTCATGGCAGCAGTGTTGCCGTTGTGCGACTAAAGTGTCAAATTGACACCTTTTGCAGATCGATGCCCCTTGGCACCGACTTTTTAAAAATAGGCTTATTTTGACACTTTTTCAAAAAATCATGCGACTTTTGCACCTTTTCTTTGATTTTAAATACAATTCCTTCATAAATTATATTTTTTTTACGTGTTTAAAAATGCTTTTAGTATTTACTTGTCAAAGGCACTTAAAAATTACACCTCTAGCCAGATTTGGGCTGATTTCAACCTTTTTATTATGTCAAAGATTTTCCGAATAAATGTCCAGAAGTAGCCTGAATTAATGCACCGTTTTTGTAGCTTAGCATTTCCTCCAATTTATTTATGTTAAATTTATTATTTATTTAATGATGTAAGTACTTTTTTTTTAACTGCAATTGTGTTTTCATACTAAATGCAAAATATACATATTGCGTATTTTTAATATATCCCTCACCAATAGGTTATTATTTTAAGAGAAAAAACTATTTTCGACAGTAAATGATGATCTCCATTAACAATTTATAAAAAAAATAATGGGGCAAATTCATAGATGAAAGATGAACTCTACTCTAAGCAGCTTTTTTGGTAGATTTTCCGTTGAAAAAAGCTAAAACTAACGTTAGAGTCGATTTCATTTCGACTATGAATATGCCGTACTGAGTTTCGAAAGGTAAAATAATGAAAGTCTTTACATACATGGTATAAACGATTTGAATGACTTGAAGACACTCTTTTTCGGCTGTGACATTTTTTTGCAACTTTCGAAAAGCTTTCAGCGGTAACACTGCATGGCAGAAATACACTCGGAGGTTGGCCATGGCCTGCCGAGGGGCGACCACTGTTAAGAAAAAACCATTTTTCTAAATTTTTTTGCGATGTAGCTTTGACCAGGACTTGAACCTAGGCCCTGCGAAGTGGAAGCGCGCACTGCTTACCACTACACCACAGCGGCCGCCACTTACTGGAGCTAATAATTTGAGTGCTCATGTAAGGCAGCAGCAGCGCGCCGCATAGCCTTTCAGAATTATACAAACAATAACAACACGATTTAGAGGGCGGGACGAAAAAATACACCGCAAGCCGATGTCCAGTAAAAATCTAAATAATTAGGGAAAATGTATTTTTCGAAAAATTTATCAAATATTGTATCTGATATTCATTGAAAGTAAGTTTTTTGTTGTGTCTTTTGCAGCCGATTTCATGCGCTCCGCTCCGCCTCATTCAATGTGAACACCTGAAGCACGTGTGCACGTGCCCTTAGAGCCGTTTCACAGTCTGTCGTTTCTCTGTTTGTCTGCTTGCGTGGCGCTTATGGTTTTGTGTGGGTCGCCTATGGTTTGGAATGGGGTCTTTGGCATACATTAACAATCAATTCCTGGCTTTGCTTTTCCATTCCCGTCCTCTTCTCTTTCACCTCTCTTGTGCTTTGCTTTGCTTACTGGTAATTAAAAACATTGGCATTTCCCCCACAGCCCGGTACACACCCACCCTCTTCTGCTACAGTTCGTTGTTTGGTTCTGCTGCCAAAACCACAAAAGGTCATACAACGTTTTCATGCGACAATCGATGACGATAATGAAGCCAACAATATTCAAATCACTGCAGAGTGAGGCAGACAGTCGGTCAGCGTCAGTCCATAAATGTAATGAGCTTTTAAGGTTGTCATAGAAGCCGACTTTTTTTTCGTGCATTTCATTTGCCAGATAATAACTCAAATGAAAAAGTGCGCATTTTTGTACACTCCGTCAAAATAGTTACTGATTTGAGTGCACCAAATCAATATCGTTGGTTTTTGCTTTTAACCTTGAAGCGATTCTGAATTTTCATCATCATATATGCATGCGTGTATGTATGTACGTATAGGCCGACGCGGTATCAACGTGATTGAACCAAAGGTAGAGGAGTGTTAGCTGTGGGCCGAAAAATTTCGTTATAGAACAACATTTTTGAACAAATGTAACCAAAATTTTCCATTTTAAAATTAAGCCATTTAAGAAGTACAGTATTTACCAGTCAATGTCCTAATAAACGCTCAATGGCAAAGTACTTTCTATTTTAGTGATCTCAAGGCAAGAATGACGGATCTCAATTCAGCTTTAACGCCAAAAATAGTAAATGCTAATCTGATTGACCAAGTACTCGCAATTTAAGAGGGAATTTCGTTCGAACGGTTTTGTATCAATAACCCCTTGAAATAATAACATCAGCACATAAGCCGCATTGGCCACTTTCTCATCTATTGCAAGAATAAAGAGCAGATAACGCCTTGCTAACTTTGTCTTCCTTATTCAGTCTCTATTTGTCACCGTCAAATATTATCGCTAAGTTTTTAATTCAACAAAAAATTATGTCCAGTGTTTTAACTACCAAAAATGTACAATCGTCCAATTTTGAAATTACCAAAAATTTATGTCCAGTTTTCGATTTCCAAAAAAAAATATTTCCAGTTTTCAAATTTAAAAAATTTACGTCCAGTTTTAAAGTACTAAGAATTTTGGTGCATATTTTAATTTACCAAAAAATGCATCTGCTGTCAATTTTTAAAGTAAAATGTATTTACTAAAAATTTATATCAAGTTCTTAAATTGCCTAAATTTTATGCCCAAAAATTTAAGGCTAGAGGCATCGTAGTTTATCAAAAAATTACGTCCAGTTTTTAAACAACCTAAAATGCACGTCCAGTTTATATTATGTCCAGTCTTCTATTACCAAAAACTTATGTCAAATTATAAAAAAGTTATGTCAAGTTTTAAACTACCAAAATGTATGTCTAGTTTTAAATTACCGAACAAAATATGTACAGATTTTAAGTTACAAAGATTATGTTCTGTTTTTGAACTACCAAAAATGAAAAAACGTCCAATTTTTGAATTACAAAAAATTTATGTAAGTCCATTTTTCGATTATAAAAAATTTATGTGCAGTTTTCGATGCCCAAAAAATTATGTTTTTTTTTCCAAAAATGTATGCACTTATGTCTACTTTTAACCTACTAAAAATTTATATAAAGTTTAAATTACCAAAATTTTATGTCCAAAAATTTAATGCTAGCTTTTAGTTTATTGAAAATTTATGTCCGGTTTTTAAATAACCTAAAATGTTCTAAATTACCAAAAATTTGTGTCACGTCTTCCAATTCCAAAAAAAGATGTCCAGTTTTAAAATTACCAAAAGTTTTATGCTAGATTTTAGTTTATCGAAAATTTATGTCCGGGTTTGAAATAACCTAAAATGTTCTAGATTAGAAAAAATTTGTGTCACGTGTTCAAATTCCAAAAAATAATGTCCAGTTTTAAAATTATCAAAAATTTATATCAAGTTTCAAACTACCAAAAATGTATGCCCAATTTTAAATTATCAAAAAAAAAATATGTACTGTTTTTTAATACAAAAATGTATGGCCAGTTTTAAAATTTTCGGACAATTAACCAGTTATTAAATCACCGAAAATAGTCCAGTTTTCAAATTTACAAGAAATTATGTCCAGTTTTTTAATTACCCAAAGTTCATCACCGGTTTTTCACTTTTAGCCTAAAAGTTTTAGGTGTAAAGTAAAATGAAAAAGCAAAGCTTTGCTAGAACAGAGGTAACAAATTATAGTTCTAAAAGGAAACTCGAAAAATTTCCATAAAATGTGTTCTATGCGTCATTTAACCGATCGGAGCTTATTTGACAGAATGTACTTGCAATCCTATTACTACATTTCCTAGCTTTTTGCAATATTGTAAAATACTTTTTTCAATCTTTCGCTTTTAACACAATATTATATATAGTGCGCATTATACATAAATATGAATGTACAAATGAAGTAATTACTATCTACTCGCAAAAAATAAGTAAGTAATTAAACTGTGTACATTATGTCACCTCAGGTAGCTAGCCTTGGCATGCGACTCATTTTTGTGTAACTTCCTTATAATTCCATATCATACATGTACATATACATACATACGACTTGGTTTATTTTTTTTATTTTTTTTTATTCAGTCCATTTTTCATTTACTAGTTCTTTAAGTCAATAGTCTTTGATATTATTTGAAAAACATTCATATTTCCTGAGTTCAATATGTTTCCAGATTTACCGATGGATGCACTCAGATTCTGTTGTTTGCTTAAAAAATGGAAATAAGATATTCGGCAAAACACACCGGCTGAATCTGGTGTATTGCCTTGGCCGAAAAAAATCAGCTCCGCATCTTAAAGTTTCTTCTTCTTCTTATTGTCAACTTCCCAAAGAGCCATAAATGTAGTGGAATTTAAGATTTCATACGAACATACATATCGTCACCTGAAATGTAAAAAGTCGTTACTAATATTTATTTATTTTTTTTCATAAAATGATGTGGGAGTTGTAATTCGATGAAATATGATGCACATATCAATCAAAAAGTGAATTTTGAATTTTTTATTGGTTACGTCTTAATGCATTTCAGGTAACGATATGTAAATACATTTTATAGCCCTACACGAAAAACGAAAATGGAAAAGCACCTATATATATTACAAAAATACAATTTCACAGTTTTTGCTGCATTACGGCGCCAGCATTTTACAGCTGTCGCATTGCCGCTGGTCATCCGGAGAGGCGCGTGCTTTCACTGCGCAGATTTGAATAGGCGACGTGCCGCGATAAGCAATTTTTACTTTTAATTGTATGAAAAAGTG